AAAAAAGTTATAATATAATTATGATTACAAATAATATAATTGTAATTATGATTGTTTTTAGTACCTGGTAATTGTGGACACCTACACAAGCACCATGATAATGCTCTCCACAAACCGAGCATATCATTAATTACCCACGTCTCCTAAGCCATTGCAAATTCTACAATTTATATCATCAGTACCTGAAAATGAAAAAATAAAAAAATAATAATTGGAATTAATTGATAAAAATCACCTTTGAACCTCAAATGCCACCTTACTCACATTGCCAATTACAAAGAAACAATAAAGGCAAATAATAAAACAAAATTATCCCTGCATGTATAAACCTACATATGTCGCATACACCTTACCATATGTAGGTTTTGAGACAGTTTTAGGTATCAATGTACAAGCATTTACAGACTTACAGCTGGGTATCTCGAATTCCGAGATTCTTACCTAATTTTAGTTTAAATGACTGGACTAATGTAGTAACAAGGCTGTATGGCATATTTTATCATTTACAGTTACAATTTAAGAGCAATATCTAAAAGTTGTCCATACCGAAGCTCATCTTGGACAGAAAAAAAGAAATGGACAGAAAAAAGATAATTTCAAAAATGTCTCCAGTGATATATTCAACCAGCTTATTACGTGGAATACATAAGTGAACAAAATTTCATCATAATCAACAAGATAAAGCAATACAGGAATCCTAAATTGATATTCAACAGATACACGGGTCATTTGTACACTTTACAACCAAGTAACAGAATGCAGAATAACACAGTTCATTATAATGCAAGTTCTTATAGTTCAAATATATCTATTTTTTGTAAATATGTTTCCTTTAAATGACATATTTGTAATGATAATTAACTTCCCGTAGGGTAAGTTATAGTAATCGCAAAAAAAATCGAAAATGAAAATTTTTATATATCTTTACGTTTCAAAGGTTCCTGAACATTTTTGGCATACCTTAGAAAAAATGGATGTATGTGTGGTGTGTGTGTGTGTGTGTGCGCGCGTAGTATGTATGTGTGGTGCGGATACAAATTTTCGTCGACGATTTAGGGAACACGGATGAAGCAATTTGAATAATTTAAAAAACATTTGATCCGTATTGATAAGGAGACGTGCTGATTAGTTTTTGGTAAAGGCGGGTCTAGCCGTTCCGGAGATACGGGGCAAAAAGTGCCAAAAACGGTAACTCAGTTTTTAAGAGAACGGAGCGTCCGATTTGAATAATTCAAAAACATTTTATTTGTATTGACTTAATAAAAAACTGTTCAAATTTTTGGAAAGGCAGATCCAACGACTTGGGATATGGGGGAAAAAGTAAAAAAATGAGCCATTTGGCGGCCAAAAATAAACATTAGACTTATGCACATCAAATTATCAGATATTTATAGAGATTTTAACAATAAGTATATTTTGTTTACATTCCTATGGGTTCCGTACCAATGTTTACCCGTTAGACAGCGACGCGGCGCTTACGCGCTTTAATTTTTTGTCTCTATGCATTTAAAGCAGTACGATTGCTTGAAAAAAAGTTCAGATCTTCCAACATATGTCAAAATAAAGAAAACATTTTTTTTCAAAAAAAAAGATTTAAAAAAAAAAATTAAATGATTTTTTTTTCAATTTTTTTTTTAAAAATAAGTAATTTTTTGTCAAATTTATAGTTTCTCAAAATCTTATTTTTTCGAAGTAAATTTTGTTCAAAAATGTTAATCGTTTTTTAAAAAAAAATAATAACTTTTGGTACGGGAAGTTCCAGCAATTTGCCTTAAGGCACGATGCCTTAATTGCCTTAAGACAGAATTCCACTTACAGCTAGTTTTATGTTAATTTTCATTTAATGTACTGTATACATTTGATGATTAATAAATCATGTTTGTATCAAAATCTTTTAGTACAGAAGTACAGACTTTAATTAGTTACATAACACAGCAAGGCACGTAGGCATGATCAAATGTGTAGATAATTTTCATTAAAAACTTACATATTAAAGGAACTTGTCCAAGATGCTCATTACAAAATGAGTTTATGCGTTGAATAACTTGAAATCCACCAGACGCTGCTACACAAGGAAAATGAAAATACTTTGGACAAGCCATCTAAAACATATTGAAATTAATTCAAATGTAATTATTCTTTATACCAAAATTAATACGTATAATCCATTAATTATGTACCTTGCATGCCAAACTAGCACCAAAGTGTCCACAAAACGAGCACTTTCTGTTCAAACTTTGTAAAATAACTGGATTTAGATTTAAATAGCTGTTTATTTTTTCAGGATTCTTCTGAACCGTCATACTCCACTCTACACAAGCTCTATGTGCATAATAATATTGCGATTGATCAACCAGGGTCAGTGGATCAACAGGTTCCAAGTAACCAACTTTTTCTAATTCATCAGTATACTCTACATTCAACGATGGATTCCTGAAAAACAAACATATAATTAACTATATGCTTACAAATCATTTCAGTAAAAGACTCATACTACTACTGACTTGCACTTGCTGAGCCCCTTCTGTCGCCTGTTACTGAGTTGCTGTTGATTAACATTCCTAGGGCTTTTATCACAACTGCCACTAGATGTATTATCTTTATTACTATCGCTTGCATTTAAATTATCACTATCTTCTGTGCTTGGTACATTTTCAAATTCACCATTGTAGTCAAATCGAAGCATTTCACCTTGTCCTAATTGAGTGCGTTCAGTTAAATTGCAAAAGATACAAAATTTACCAGGCCTGGAATGAAATAATAATAATAATTATAATAAGAATATAATTAGTATTTTATTTTTAATTTTTAATTACCATTTTTCAGTGAAATATGGGGTATCGTCATGCTGCACCTTCTCAGATAAAACTAAAGCACCTGTCTCAGAATCCAACATCATTTTCCTCACCAGGTGATGGCGGGACTGAAAAACTGTCCAGCATAGACATCATATCGCCTCGGTCTTCTCTACTAAGTCTAGGCCGTTTTGGTACACCTCTTGCTGATCCACCCCTAAAAAAATGATCGAATTTACATAAAATTTATTATTTTGAGTAATCAATTGATTTCATTAAATTATTAAGATTGAAAAAAATATTAATTGTATATGTTATGTTGTTTATACACTAGTATTGATTTTTGTATAAAATCAGCCATTTACATATTCTGAAAATATAAAAAGCTCTAGTTTCTACATTATATATTTGATTAAAAAATAAATTTCAAATGAATAAATATAAAGCACAATTATTAATTTATTGTTAATTAATCATTCTAAAAATGTATTAAATTAATTTTATAGAAAAACTATCATGTAAAAATGGTTTATGTATTTTTTAGTTGATTTACATTCTCACAGTATTTATTCATATATTTTAACAAATTTTATATTTGAATATTATTTGTTATAAAACACAATTGTTCATTTAGATTTTGTATATTTATTATATAACAATTTTGAAAAAGTATTGAGTGAAATAATGCTTATGCAGTAATATATGTTTTATTAATTTGTTGTTTTTGTAGTATTTATATATTTATTTACTGATTTACACAAAAATTTTGCATTTAAACACTATTTATTTATTATAAAGCACAATTGGCTTTATATTTTGCATATTTGTTAATTAACAATTTATAAAATGTATTATTAAATTAATTTTATAAATAAAGTAATAACTCACATGTGAAAATGATGCATGTAATTTTTAGTTATTTTATATTTTTATAGCCATTATTTGATTATTTAGACACAAATTTTGAAATTGAAATTTTTCTATTTATTATTCAAATATTTATAAACCTTTACTTTAAACAATATTGATGAAACTTTGATTGATATCGTAATAATGTGTGTTTAGTTGAAGCATAAGCTTTAATA